CCACTTATATGCACCTCTTTTATTTCCAGAAATGTATTCATGTTGTTATTATTATTATTATATAATTATTATTCATATTATTTTACAAAATGTTGATGTCACAGACACTTTAAACTTAATCATTTTAACTTGTGGTTTCTGTCCTAGACCAGTGAGACAGAAACTGAACAGGTTTGGTCTTATTTAATGTCGGACAGTGAAAAGGACAGAGATTATTTACAGTTTGTGTTTATTTATCCTCAGGGTTTGGAGAGTTTTAGGTTCGTTCAGGAACCACAGTCATTACCTTAGCTGTCAAATTATTGTTGGGCAAAATGGGTTAGACTTCTCGTGAAACCTGAACCTTCCTGTCTCCTCTCCACAGTGGTCAACAAATCCAAGATGTTGTCTGTAGGCGTGGCAGACGTGGTGTTGAAGTTCCTACAGTCAGAGATGCCTCCGGTTCAGTTTAAACTCCTGGGAACATTACGGATGCTGATCGATACACAAGGTTGATCTTATTGTTCCTCCTTTCAGCTTAGTTTGTAATTTCACTAATTCACAATCAGCACAGTCGTGTCAAAGTGAGGGCGACATCTTCCTGTTCTGAGTTTTGTTGTCACCTTAAAACATCGACAGCTTCCAGATTTTCAAAATTGTTCATCCAAACATTATTTCTAGGGCTGTGAAATTAATCGAGTTAACTCTGGTTAATTTTAGTGCTGCATGGGCATAGATTAAAAATTTTAATTGTGATTAAAATTTACAGTCACTTTACTATGGCTGAATATGTAGGTTTGTATATTTCAATGCACTCAGTGCATGCCAGGTCATGTTTGTAAATGAGAAGTGGTTCCCAAAGTTACCTGGATAAATAAAGGTTAAATAAATGTAAAAAAAAACTCCATGTGTAACACATTATGTACAGTTTTTTTTTGTCTTCTTATGGCTTATTTTATTTTATTTATTTAAGTTTTGCTGACGACTGTGACCTTAGTATCCATCTTTCATTCTTCATGTTCTCATTTGGAATGAAAATCCTTGAATTCTTGTTTTAACCTCATTATTCTGCACAAAATTTAACTGACTCAAAAATGTTTGGAGCATTTTCATGTCCTGTTTTATATTTAAAAAAATCACGAATAAGCATCAATTTTGTTTTCTAAATAAAAACATTAAAACTAATT